TTACACTACACTATGCTAAACCATTAATTTAAAAAGCATAAATGCTCACACTAACTTAAAGATCTAATCAATGTGGATAACATAGGTCTAGTGCTGCCAATTGCTACCTTTGACTTTGTGTGTCTTCGTTAGTCTGAGCGGCGCGTCCGCTGCTCTTATTGTGAAGAGCCTCCTTCCGCCTTCGTGTGTAAACTCTGCTTCACAGACTCCAACTTGACGGATGTGGAAGCGCTGAAAACGGATATGGTTTGCATTAGGACGTCAGAGGGGCGGGGTCACATGACCCGTCTTTAAGGACACAGGGAAGGCTGAGGCTGCGAACCCGCTGACCTCAGCGGGGCCCCGGGCGGCTTCAGAGCCGAGCCCCGCTGGAACCACTTCACCTCCATACCAACATGTGAACAGGGGCGGGCGGCCTCCGCAGCGGGCCGGCAGCAGCCTCACAGTCCTTATGCAACCGCTCTTCACCTCTGTACGCTCACTGTACATGCGGTTTACTTTTCGGCGGTGATGGCTGATAAAATGAGGTTAACAAAATATTAGGAATCTTTACTTAACCAGGAGCCACAAACCTCAGCTCACTGAACTCAGTTCAGTCACAAATTACAAGCGAACAAGCTCACTGCTCTGTGCTCTTCTTCTTACCTTTGATTTATAATTTAATGTGTTTAAATTGTCAAGTGTTTAACCAGAAACACCCACATTTCTCTGCTCCATTAACACTTATATGATGGATTTTTCACAAAAATATTTACCACGACTCATCTCCTAGTTTGTCTGATTCAGTTTTGTCAGTTTGGTCTCTAAATCTATTCATAACATCTTATGTTTCTGCTTGTAAAGCACTTCAAACTGCATCTGATTTGTTTGAAACGTGCAATATGTATAGAGTTTGAATTTGGTTACCATGATTTTATACGTTTTTAAAAAAATATTAAACCATCTAAGCTAAATTAAACCAAAAAAATCCAAAGTTATTAAATGGATGATGCTGACAAACGGATCTGGGTACATGTAGATTTGCTTTCCAATTAGATTTCTCCGTTTGCGTGAAGGTTCTGCTGTGGTTACTTCTGTCGGAGCCGCTCTGCACCACCGTTGGTGCTTAAAACAATAGGAGAGGCTGCTCACGCTGAATTCATTAAGCATACAGCTGTAGGGGATGAATTCGTATTAACATTCATCATTGTTCCTGGTTTACATTATTATGAGCAGGAACAACAGTGATTAATTAACATGTGTTAAAGACACACAGCAGGTTTCCATGATTTAAAGAGTCTATGGGGAGTTTTAACCGTGAAAAAAAAAATGCACGCATGCAATGCTGTTAGCTGATCGAATTAGTTTAATGAGCTGACTGACACTTCATCCAATTCAGAGGCACTTATGTTTATAAGCTGGGAAGTTTGAAAATAAAAACTAGAAGAATTCCAGTATGTCCTTGTTTGATGTATTCCAGCAGATGTAAATCAAACCTGTGATGTACAATCACACATACAGTTACCCTCTAATGTATTCATAGCCTCCCGTTAAAGAAGGAAAAAATAAACAGCTGTCATTGAAATAAGTTGAAATTGACAAACGTAAGAATAAATAAAAATGTGATGAACATCATGACATTGCTTTGAATTGTGGTTCAACAGAAATATATAAAAAACAACAACAATCAAACTTGATGGGACCCGTGAACTAACATGTAGCTGAACAACCCTCTGAGCCAATCACTGCCATCAGGTGTTTCTGTAACTCTCAGTCAGACTTCTGCACCTGTTGACAGGTGTTCTGGACCACTGCTCACCTGCTCATCAGCAAAGGGCTCTCATTGGTCCGAGACAGTTTTTTAATTTTTTTAATTATTCTTTTCAACCACAATTCAAAACCAACGTCTTAATTCACTAAATTATAATTTAGCACATTTTTATTTATTCTTATTTTTTTAGTTTCTAGTTATTGGAGTGATTATTGTGAATTCTACCTTTTCTTTAATGGAAGGGTGTGAATACATCTGAGGATGACTGTATAGTGACTGGCTTTTATTCATTCTGCTTCCTTGAAGTTCTTATTATTAACAAATGAAGCCTATTGTTTTTTTATATTCTAATGTTCAAGGTTGTTCATTTTTTGACACGTTTATTTGATTGCATGCTATTTCCAATCATTCAATAATTACATTTATGGCTTCGTTATCAGTAATACTATGTTCCTGTTATACACAGTGTCTGTAATTGTTTTTGCAGCGTGAGGAGGGATTTAAAAAAAAAAAAAAAAAGGATCAGCAAGCTTACAGCTGCTCCCTTATGATAAAAGAAAGCCATATAGTGCAGCCGTGTTATATAGGTCAGCTCGTATAGCGGCTTGCATAAAGATGTTTAAATCTTCATGTACTCTCATGGGGAAAGTAGGTTGTCATGGTGTATGAGCACAAAAAGCCACATTTTATGAATATTACAGAGAGTAAGCTGAGGGGTGTTTGTGTTTATCTGTCAGTTAAAGCCCGTATGTGACGGCCTGTAGGCTGTGTGTGTGTGTGTCCTTGAATAATGTGTATTAATTTGGCATTAATCTGTTTAAACAGCAACGAAGGCCATACTTAAAGGACAATACCAGCATTTTGCTCAGTAAGCTCTGTGTGGTTCACTGTCTTCCTTTATTTCTGTTGTCACTCCGTTGATCAGTCAACCCGGGAGTCTCCATGTTCTCCCCGTGCAGCGTGGGTTCTCTCCGGGTTCTCCGGCTTCCTCCCACAGTCCAGACACATGCTGAGGTTAATTGGTGATTGTAAATTGTCCGTAGGTGTGAATGTGAGTGTGCTTGGTTGTCTGTCTCTAAGTGTAGCCCTGTGATAGACTGGTTACCTGTCCAGGTGAACCTGCCTTCACCCTGAGTCAGCTGGGATAGGCTCCAGCCCCCCATGACCCTCTTGAGGATTAAGGTGTGTAGATGATGGATGGATGGATGTTAATCAGGCATTTATAAAATTACTTGTGCTTTGTTTTTCTTTCAGAATGCCATGTCAATATTAAGAATCTTATTTACACGCTATTATTAATTTAATAATTGTCCACATATAAAAGGTTATCATTCCTCTGTTTCTGAACTTGCAGCCTGAGACTGAACATTCATTTTAATTACCACTGTTATAACAAGCATTTTAAGCTGTGGTTTAGTCCTTTAAATCACATTTACTGTCCTATAGTGGATGCAAACCATGTAAAGGTTAAGGTCGTGTGTTTCTACTGTATACTCATCTCTGTGCAATATCACCTCCATGTCAAAGGATTCTAAACTGTATGACTTCTTAATAATACCAGCTAATTGGAAATGCAGTATTTGCCTTATAACCCGTGTCATGCCTCCGTCCCGCCGGCGGGACATGACTACTTTCCAAAAACATTACGGCCAAGTGCGCATGCCCCACAATCCAGTTGCCCGACAAAATACGCATCAAATGAAAGCTTCCAGTCTCCTCTTTCCGATGATATAAACGTTTAGGACATTCAGCAGCCACAGTGTTGACAAAGAGATTTTTGTACAGAAAAGCAAAATGTTAAATTCTTACTTTTGAAGGCTCTCTGCAGCTCAAACATCGCTCATTCCTCACCAGCTTGGTCTCATTCTGTCCGGACACATCCAGTGAATATAATCCAGTAAAATGATTTCAACACGTATTAGCTCCTCAAAGGCACAAATTCTGCAGTAATGTCTTCCCAGCTTGAAATGAACTCCGGCTGTTTTGTTCATTTCTTCTGGCGAAATCAGGCAGAATCTATTTTAGATCGCGTCGAAACTGCTACAGTGGGCTACACGGAAGTGTTAGCGTTTGATTGACAGCGAGTTTGGCCAATAGGAGAGCGATAGGGGGTGACTGACACCCTGAAGAGCCAATTGAGTGTCTCAGACAGTCACCACAAGTCCCACCCTTGCAGATTTAACCAATCAGACATTCTGATGCTGTAAACTTCTAGCCAATGAGCAGACGAACACACAGACGTGCAGGAAGCCTGCATTTCCTTTGTGTGGAGAAGGTGGAAGTCCTGCCTAATAACACTTTCCATCTTGTTTGTTTTCGGATCGTTTTGGAGCGCAAAAACATGGCAACACGTACAGAAAAGAGAAAATACACAACAGGGGAAGTCGTGGAGGCTGCACAAGTCGAGACAGCTGCTGTCCTGATGCTTCCTTCAAACAGAGGCTGTTACAACGAGCGACTCATAGAAAACGAGTGTTTAGTGCTGAGAATATGTGCACAGTTTGAGTTATACTGTAAATATACAGTTTGCAGTGTGTGTTGTTAGTGTGAATTGTAAATATATATTTAAACTGGCCCATAACACTTGTTTTGATGTAGTCTCTTTACAGCTTTTTATGAAAAATATATATTTTATTTTGTTTTTATGATGAAATATGAATTTCTATAACTTATAGAGTGACTCTGTGTTCAGATATGGATTCCTCTGGGTATAAGCTTTCAATAGAGCCCTCACTGATGTCTGTAGGTTCAAGCATTCAAAAGATTTTGCACTTTTTCCTGACATTTTCAGTGGTGTCCAGTTTGGATAGATGTGGATTAAACACAAGTCCCTCAATAAAACGCATGAACATACCAGTATAAAAACTGGTTTCAAATGATCAGTTTTACAGATACTGTTTTCAAATTTTAAATATGAGTACAATACAAGTTATTTTATTGGCACAGAGGTTGTTTTAGTTCCCACCTCCTAATGCTGCTTTATGCTCCTTTATTCTCAAGAAAAAAAAATCTTCAGTGATTATTGAAATGGAATAACTTTTTACTGGTAGCAGCTGGAATGATTCTGATTGCTGTGGCTAAAACTAGAGAGTGTTATCTTTATGAAAAGAAGGACCAAACTTTATATACACTCCATAAGGGTCAATAACAACAGCATTCATTTTAATTTGGAGATAGTATATCAAAAAAACAGCCCGGCAGCAGAAACACCGTGCGGCAAAAGTCAGTTAGTGAGATTGGAGTGTTTATTTTCTCAACACTTCATATGTCCACCTTCATTTTTGATGACAGACTCAATCCTCCTCGGCGGGCAGGGATCCAGAAATTTCTGGAGAGATGTTCTGCTGCTACAGAGACTTTTTTTTTTTCTTCAGCTGCTTGTTGCTGGAGGGGTTGTGTTGCTCTACTTTCCTCTTTAAAATACCTCAAAGATGTTTTATTGGATTCAAGTCAGACGACGCACTTGGTCAGGTCATAGTTTTCACTTTTTTCTTCTGTAGAAACTGTTGTGTGATTTTGGCAGCGTGCTTTGGATGCTTATCACGCTGGAATATTGCTCTTCTGCCAAGCTTGTGCAGACTCGGAGTCATCTCAGGCAGCTTTCCTTCCTCAGACTTTCGAGGTACCATCTATAAATGTCCTCTCCCTAACACTCATACAGCCCCATATCACCACCCTCCTCACCTTTGTGCTTCACTGTCAGGTCAGTGTACTCACTGCGGCAGCCTTGGCAAACAGGCTGGACCCAATCTGAGCCAAACAAATGTATCTGGCTGTGAACAAGCAAAAGATTTTTTCTTGGATGCCGTCCATAGAGGTTGAAATGTTCTTCACACTGTCTGGGCTGTCACAGAAACTCCGATTTCTATTACGAGCCCCAGTGGCCAGTTTGTTTTTAAGACCCTGACTGTGGCGCCACTTCAAGAGGACGATCGCTGCAGCTCTGATTAGTGGTACTACGTCTCGTTCTTCTGATTACTGCTCCAACTGTATTTCCACTAAGTTTTGGTTGCTCACTGATCTTCCCATGTTCTTTTCCATCCTTGATGGCGCCAGTGTGCGCGGCAGCCATCATACCTGCTCCAGCACCCTTACAACTTTTTAAAAAAAAAATTGTTATTTAACGTTTTATTACTATTAGTCTTAATAACTACCGGCCTATTGCCCTTACTGGTGATGAAATGTTTTAAAAGACTTGTCAGGAACTTCATCACCTCCTCCCTACCTGCCTCCCTGGACCCCTGCATACCGGCCAAACAGATCCACAGACGGCACCATCAATCACCTGCTACCCACAGCCCTGGCCCACCTGGACACTGGGAAGGGGAATTATGTGTAGATGCTGTTCGTGGACTTCAGTTCAGCGTTCAACATCATAATCCCCTCCAGACTGGTCACTAAGCTGCAGGATGTCAGACCCACCTCCTCCCTGTGCAGGTGGGTCTACAGCCTTTTGACCAGCAGACCACAGGTGGGGAATCACCTGTCCTCCTCACGCACCCTGAACATCGGCGCCCCCCAGGGCTGTGTGCTGAGCCCTCTGCTGGACTCACTGTACACCATGACTGCCTGTCCACATCAGACTCTAACACCATCATTAAGTTTGCTGACGACACAGCAGTGCACTTTGATATAATTTTGAATCATTTGACATTTTGCATACGGGTGGGCTTCCCTCTGTTGTGTATTGTATTAGTTAATATCATCATGTAGTGCTGTTTGTAGAGCTTTTTCTTTTAAGCTCAAAAGTTAATTATTGGAGGAATGTTTAAAATATGAAATAATTGAAAGAAAAGTCATCCCCTCAGTGGCCCGGGTAGAAACATGCTGAGCAGAGGTAAGAACATTCAATTTTAAGAACTGTAGAAAATAAATAATATAGTCAAAACAAGGCATGGAAATTCAACATGCCTTGTTATTTCTTGCTCAGCAGTTGGATGTTCTGTTCTGCAGCCTCGGTGCTGCCACTGGTGGCTGGAAGCTGTATTACAACATAACTGACTGATCAGTCTGAGCTCACAGCTGTAACTCATTAAATGGTAGCTTTTAATACCTCAGTGAATTTAAAAAGTAATCAATGAACTGGGAATTACAAAAGTGTAAAAAAAAAACCTGTCCAAATGTTCTACTAATAAGCAACAGACTGTAATAGAAACGCCCTCATTTANCCTCCTCCTCCTCATGCCTCTCCCTCCCCTCCATTGGTGCACAAGCCTACCGTTTTGGAGATGAGAGGGTGGGAGAATAAAAGCCCTCATCTCTCCCCCGAAGCTTTATTTATAAAGTTTACGCGGCCGGTGCAGCTGAACTTGGTGCCGCCCAAACAACGCGGGAGGACACTTGGTGCAACGCGTTAAAAAACACTTCTCTCCCTTTTTCTTTTTTTTTGGAACACAAGGAGACATAAACATAAAGAGCGAGATGGAGGGCGTGGATCCGCGCTGCTGGATGTGGTGAACGTGCTGCCACTATCTGCGGGCTTCTTGTTGTTGTTGTTGTTGTTGATGTTGTTGTTGTTGGTTACGCAGTGGTTCCCTACATGTTTCGGGGTTCTTTAAAGGTGCAGAAAGCAGCGGTGAGTGACTGACCTGGTCCAAATGGGAAGTGTGTCAGCTGTAACAACAGTTGCAGTTCTCTCGGAGGATTGGGGGGCACTTGAGTTTACGAATAATCCCACAGAGCGAGCGTCGGCGCGCACGCGTTACGCTGTCACACTGCTGCAGGCGGCCTTCAAAATAAAAGTCGTCATTCGGCGTCACAAATGCGAGCACAAATTGAATTGGACGTTGATGTTCTACGATATAACATGAATCAGTGCAAATAAATCTCATGGATATCAATCATCTGTTGGCTGCTTTTAGAGGCATGGCAGTACTCAGGGCTTCACTAACGGGGCTGTTTTCTGTTTGTTCTGAAGACGTTTCACTTTCGTCTGTGAGGCTTCTTAGTCTCGGATGTACATTGTCACGTCCATCTCAGATGTCTTGCATGCCATGAGGTGTGGATGGTTGTGAAACTGTTGAGGGAGTTGTACGTGTGAAACTCCCCGTCAGTCGGTTAGATCTGAAGACGCTTCTTAAATGAAGGTGAAACGTCTTCAGGAACCTCACAGAGAAGAACAGCAGCCGTCTACTGGTGGGACGGCGATCGTCTACGCCGTTTCATCAACACCATATTGTCCTTTAAGTTGAATAATAACATTAAAGGAATATTCCAGTCTGATTATGTGTTTGACTCGTGTCCTGTATGTTTCATGTTTGGCAGGCATGTCTGTCTGTCACTAAGCTCTGGTACCGACTGGACCTACTGCAGGATAATAGCTAATGGATGGATGGATGGGACTTAAGAGCAGCATCTGGTATCAAACCCAAGCTCAAAGTGCTTTAAATCTTTGTATTTTGTGGTAACAGGGTCTGTTCACTGGCACAAAAATGTAGATGCTCAAATACAGAAGACAAAAATTTCTACCCCTACCTGAACTGGCATCTAAAAATTTTATTTCAAAACATGATCTAATATTTTCCTCATCAATCTGAATACAGTAATCGGCTTTAAGAGGCTTTTGTTACCAGGTAGTGGATGAACCTTGTGTTACAGAGGTGAGTGAAAATGAATTAAATCTCTATTTTACATGAAACTAAACTAAACCACAAAGCTGACAATGCTCTGTTGGTTGTGGATGTTTTATGTGGTCGGTTTGTCTAACTTGAATAGATTTACATAGAATGGAAGTGTTTTATTTATTTATTTACTTTTGTTTCTCTTTTTAATGTTACACTACACTATGCTAAACCATTAATTTAAAAAGCATAAATGCTCACACTAACTTAAAGATCTAATCAATGTGGATAACATAGGTCTAGTGCTGCCAATTGCTACCTTTGACTTTGTGTGTCTTCGTTAGTCTGAGCGGCGCGTCCGCTGCTCTTATTGTGAAGAGCCTCCTTCCGCCTTCGTGTGTAAACTCTGCTTCACAGACTCCAACTTGACGGATGTGGAAGCGCTGAAAACGGATATGGTTTGCATTAGGACGTCAGAGGGGCGGGGTCACATGACCCGTCTTTAAGGACACAGGGAAGGCTGAGGCTGCGAACCCGCTGACCTCAGCGGGGCCCCGGGCGGCTTCAGAGCCGAGCCCCGCTGGAACCACTTCACCTCCATACCAACATGTGAACAGGGGCGGGCGGCCTCCGCAGCGGGCCGGCAGCAGCCTCACAGTCCTTATGCAACCGCTCTTCACCTCTGTACGCTCACTGTACATGCGGTTTACTTTTCGGCGGTGATGGCTGATAAAATGAGGTTAACAAAATATTAGGAATCTTTACTTAACCAGGAGCCACAAACCTCAGCTCACTGAACTCAGTTCAGTCACAAATTACAAGCGAACAAGCTCACTGCTCTGTGCTCTTCTTCTTACCTTTGATTTATAATTTAATGTGTTTAAATTGTCAAGTGTTTAACCAGAAACACCCACATTTCTCTGCTCCATTAACACTTATAAGATGGATTTTTCACAAAAATATTTACCACGACTCATCTCCTAGTTTGTCTGATTCAGTTTTGTCAGTTTGGTCTCTAAATCTATTCATAACATCTTATGTTTCTGCTTGTAAAGCACTTCAAACTGCATCTGATTTGTTTGAAACGTGCAATATGTATAGAGTTTGAATTTGGTTACCATGATTTTATACGTTTTTAAAAAAATATTAAACCATCTAAGCTAAATTAAACCAAAAAAATCCAAAGTTATTAAATGGATGATGCTGACAAACGGATCTGGGTACATGTAGATTTGCTTTCCAATTAGATTTCTCCGTTTGCGTGAAGGTTCTGCTGTGGTTACTTCTGTCGGAGCCGCTCTGCACCACCGTTGGTGCTTAAAACAATAGGAGAGGCTGCTCACGCTGAATTCATTAAGCATACAGCTGTAGGGGATGAATTCGTATTAACATTCATCATTGTTCCTGGTTTACATTATTATGAGCAGGAACAACAGTGATTAATTAACATGTGTTAAAGACACACAGCAGGTTTCCATGATTTAAAGAGTCTATGGGGAGTTTTAACCGTGAAAAAAAAAATGCACGCATGCAATGCTGTTAGCTGATCGAATTAGTTTAATGAGCTGACTGACACTTCATCCAATTCAGAGGCACTTATGTTTATAAGCTGGGAAGTTTGAAAATAAAAACTAGAAGAATTCCAGTATGTTCTTGTTTGATGTATTCCAGCAGATGTAAATCAAACCTGTGATGTACAATCACACATACAGTNTGCAGCAGCTTCAGTCCAGGAGTGTCAGTTCCACCTTTTGAGAGCAAATCCACTTATTTATGAGTAAGAAAATGTGCCTCACCTGTTAGCCCTGCAGTTTGCAGCTCCTTCAGCTCTCCAGTTAACTCCCTGAGCTTCTTTACTCCTTCAGCGTAACAAAGGAGCAAGTATCCAGAACTGGGTCTGCGTTGCAAAGCACTGCAGATTCCTCCAGCAAAATCTGTTTTCACCTGACAGACGAGTTAAATGAGTGTGTATGAATCATGCATGCCTCAGTGTGTCACTGTGAGAATCTTGCATGAGAAAGTCAACCTTGTCCTTGATTGTCAAGGTAACTTGATCCATCTGCGTCAACCCGACAGCAGGGCTCCCTCCCTCTCACTGGCAGCGCAACAGCACCGGCAGAGACGCAGCAGGAAGGTCAACGCTTCACTTTTTCTTCTTTTGTACAAACACAAATACAAGTCGAAATTATTTAATTAACCTACAAATCCTGTATCTTTGTGAGATTAGATTAAAGTGGCTGAGAGGGTGAAGGGTTTTATTTAGGTATTTGTAAAACAGATGGAGTCTTACAGAGAGTCTTGGTTCCTCCGGTCAAACTCCTTTGTTCCCTCTGAAACAAGAGGTGTGCTCTTTGTGTGCATTTTTTTTCCAGAACTGAAATCTCCGCCTGCTCAGGAGGAACGTTAATAACGTGAAAAGCGCAGTTGGACCAAATGAGACACGGTGTTTTATTGGGTATTTTAAATACAATGCCACTCACATAGAAGCATTTACTTCACACTAATACAAGGTCACATCTCATCTCCATCAACAATTAGATCTGTGATTTATTCGATTTTTGTTACCATGGTGACTCTTAACACACTTAAAAAAAAAGAAATCTCTATCTCCATCTATGCTGCCAGGGACATTTAACAGATGAACAGCAGCCAGTTATCAAAAGAACTGAACAGATTCATCAGAAATGGAACAGGAACCCACACACTTAGTTCACAATCCGCATGTTTCAAAGGGGTTATCCAAAGTCACGACTGTTCCGTCCGTCAGTCCGGTCTGTTCGGCTCAGTAGGAATGGTGCCATTTGGTGTCCGATGATTCACCGACACCGTCCTCCTTTAAGCAAACTCTAGCGTGTTTCGTGATGAGCGGGTTTGGGAACGAGGTCCAGAACAACCACGGCAAACAAACCCGACACACAAGGGCCTACGTGATAACCGGCAGTGATTGGTCAGAACGTCTGAAAGCAAGTGTGTACTGCTGCTCGTTTTCAGCTTTTTCTTCACATGCACTCAACATGGCATTGAGCTTGAGTTACAGGATCTGGTTTCAGATTTGTTTTGGCTCTCTGCCACCACCAACATTTCTGACCTTCCACACTGACGGGTTCGCAACTCCGTCCAAAAACTGGGCTACTTGTGAGTACGTGTGAGTTTTGTTTACACGTCCTGGTTCGCTCGGAGTGAAACTGAATTCCATCTGCAACGAAAATCATCTTCACTGGAAAGTAAAGGCTAATTTGTTGGTGCAATCAGGTCCTCAGGTGTGTAAATAACTGCACAGCACACTGTTGTATGTTCACTTCTAGACACGAGCCGCCGCCACAGCTACAGAAAAGGGCTGAGGGGGAAAAGATACAACGCAATTTGGTCTTTCTAAAAAGTAGCTGTATTTTGATTTTGATTCTTTTTGGCTGAAGCAAAGTGGTTTTAGAGAAGAGGAGAGGAGAGGGAGGGGAGCTCAAGGTCGGGGATGGGGAGAGGAGAGGGGAGGTGTAGCTGTGGTAGTGGCTGGCAGGCAGGAGAGACGTTTAAAGCATCTGGAGGCGGCAGGTGTGCCGGGATGACAACAGACCTGCATCTTCCACAAGGCAAAAGGCAAAAAAAAGAGGAGAGCTTTTTACTGCTAGTTTGGAAGGTGAAGGAAACATACAGCAGTGTTTGTGGCCACTGTGGACTCAGATCACGTGATGCCAATCGTAGAGCCAAGGTTACATTGATGATCAGCGCCCAAAGAAATAGCCTTCGAGCTATTGCATGTGTACAGACGATATTTTAACTACAATGTTTAACCTTAATTTCATAAAACCACTCCCCTGCATTTTTTTTTTTTTTTTTACTGCAGCTAGTTTCGAATGTTATTTTTTAATTGCAAAACAATGAGTTGCCGTCCACGCTGATCTTACACAGTGACCTTGCTGGCCCTTAATTAAAGATCAAATTCAATGAGGTTTCTTCTAAACCAAAGTTACTGCAGAAGTCTGGAGAAACATGCGCTTTTTTTTTTTTCCAAATGTACTTTTCAGTGCTTTGTTTACTGCTAACTGAATGGCGCTACTTGAGAGTTGTGAGGGGTCACTCGAGCTTAAAGAGCTCCGAAAAGAATTCATTTGCCAGAGTTTTAAATGCTGGGAATGCCAGAACTCAGCGGACCGTTAAAGGTAAAGATAATTTATCAGCAGCGGCAAACCACTCCGAAAACACGTACAGTACAACCTACAGTACATCTGCACGCATGCAGGCGAGGACGGGCAGGATTTCATCAAACGGGGTCGAGTGGAGAGGGACTGAATTGGGTGATGAGATCACCATGGCAACGAGGACCTCCGCGGTGTGGAGCATGAGGGGAATGTGGGAGGGAGTTTCATGCTGAAGTGGCCTAAAGTGGAGGGAATCGCTCTTCACTTTTTACGGTTTTTAGGAGATTCTCATGGCCGCGGTCCAAACACTCACACTAATGAACTCTTCACGCGCTCGCACACACACACACACACACACACACGCCATTACATCACAGATAATAACACTTATATAACAAGACCGTGTGGACACCGAGGTGATTACAACAAGCTTGCATCAGTGTCCGCAAGCCAAAATAAATACACTTACAAATTCATGTTCCCTGATGGCAGCAACACAAAACCTCAACAACAACAACAAAAAATGTAAACAAACACAGAGTAAACTAAAGGATTGCACATTTTAGAGAGGGAATATTAATATCTACTCCGAACAGCGGTCTCCTCATTCTGATTACCGTAAGTCACAACTTCAAACATTGCATTGGAATCACGAGATGAATTCTGCTTTCAAAACACACGTCTGTCTAATAAACTGTAAATCTTATAGCCCGGTTACTGTACATTATTCTTAAGATTCCCCCTGCACTTGCAGAGGAACTGGCTTTAAGGTTGCCGTAACTTATTAAATAATCCATCAATTCTGCAGATTGGAGGTGTGTGTGTGTGTGTGTGGGTGTGTGTATTAGGAGTAATGTTGAAATCAAGTCCAGCGAGCCAGGGGATAGGAATGAGGAGAGGCTTCACATCACACGGGCCTGCAAAAAAGACACACACATTTAAGCACAACTACAATTATGTTCTCTCATAAATGAATAAAATATTGAGGGTCAAGGCATGATGCAAAACAGCGCCTCAGGGGCAAACACGCCTCTAAAATTTCATAAAAGTGTCCCTTTTTGCCTTTTAGCCAGCTCATATTTCTGTGAAGTTGATAAATATTCGGGCTACGGGCTTTTCTGTGGCAAATTTCATTCCCCCGCTGGTTTCTAAAAGACCACAGTGGAACAGTTTGGGTTGGGAAAAAAACAAAACAAATGAAGGAGCAGAAACTTTTAAGCAAAGAAAATATACAACAGCAAAGTCCAACTCTTACAGTGATTGTTGATTTGTAAATTACAGCGAAATCTGAAATAACATTTAGCCAGACTCTCATCTGACAGGCCGAGTCACATACATGTAAATGTGCCAAAAGCTCTCCAAGGGAGAATCTGTCATCATAATTCAAAGTATAGGTCTGGTTTTGGTGTGATCAAATGGACTACAATGATTTTTTTTTAGTTGGAATTACTGGAAAACTCACTGCCTTCATACAGACATCAGCTCAGGAGGGGTCATTCTGGAAAAAACAAAAGCCGATAGTGATCTTTTGTTTTGGAGTTTGGTGTTCAGGACGTGGGCGTGAGTAAAGATCTGAGACTCTGCACTGACTGCTGAGGATTTTACTCTATTTACAATACTGTGTTTAATCTTTACAGGATTTTTTTTTTTTTTAGCAGTTTATAGCCGGCAAACAATTATAATCTTCAAGTTCAACTGGCAAGTCAAGTCAGCGAGGCTTTTGTTTCGTATTAGATACCGAGTTGCACATTTAAGTGTTGCTCAGACAAACTCACCCTGTTTACTCCCAGAAGTAGCGCAGATACCATATAGTCTCATTCTTCAGCTGAGGGCCGAACAGAGGGTTGGCCTGGGCCAGAATGGCCACCAACCAGCTGAGCAAAGACAAGAAGAGAGAGAGGAAGAGGGATTGTCAACATGGGGATCCCATATGTTGGTGCACAGGCACATTTCTTAATTAAAAAGCCCGGGCCTTCCTGCTGTAGATTTAGGAAATATACTCATGAATCATACCGCTGTAAAACAACCATCGCTGTAAAGACAACAGGAAACATATGTGCACATGCACGTGAAAACGAGGGAAAAAATCTGGTCATGTGAGCTTTGAAAACCGTCCTCACAAGGCAGCTTTTCTGCTCGGCGTGAACAGATGTGATCCTGGAAGCGCGGGGGCTGTGATGAACGGAGGCTCAACTGATCTGCAGCGTCTCGTTGACTTTTAGCAATCTGAGAATTTTAAAGACAGCAGCTGATAACTCTGCTCCTCTGACTGGACTCAATAAAAACAGCTTCAGTCTCTGGGAATGCTCAGGACTTAAGCAAAGGCATCAATACAGCAACGTAGAAATATTCCTACAAGAAAGAGTCACGCGTTCAAATTGTTGTTTAAGTGAAAGTACAAAAGTAGGAGCATCAAAATACACTTAAAGGGTCAAAAGTACTCATTGTGTGGAATGGTTCATTCCTGAGTGTTGTATGTTACATTACTGGATTATAAGTATTGATGCGTTCATTTATTGTTCAAAATAACGTTGCAGCTGGTGAAGGTGATTTTATTATTTACTGTTTGTAAATGTCCCTCTTGATCGATAGAGTTTTATCCAAATCTTTTAATGAGGCATCAACAACAACAACAACTGAACCATGTTACATTATTAATTTATTGATTATATTTTGTGTTGTTAATCTGAA